CCTATGACTTGACTGTGATATAGACCACCATGATTGGACTGTGATATAGACCACTATGACTTGACTGGGAAATAGACCATTATGAGTGGACTGTGATATAGACCACTATGACAGGAGTGTGATATAGACCACTATGACAGGACTGTGATAATCATTTATGCACATACAGTGTATCACCAGCAACACATTATGTGAATCTGAATACCAGTTCATGTAATACATGTACATGTATCAATGAAACAAGTATTCAATTTATATTCAAATTTCCTAATTAATTGTTAATAAATTTTTATCAAACATACTCAGATCCTTTAAATGTCAATTTAATCTGAACAAGCCATGCATGGTACAGTCCCCATTAGTTATACAATTTAAGATATATAGTTTTGTTTATGGTAATATAGTTGGAACATAAACATGTTAGAAATTTCCAGAAGCTGATGCTTGATTAAAATTTGTTAACATTAAAATGACTGACATTCAGTCATATTGTATCTGATCGTCAAACAAGTACTTGTCTATATTGAGAGATATTGCTCTGAAACAGCATTAATTAAAACAAAATGGCCACAAGCCACTAGAACCACATTCAATAAAACAAAATTGTTGTCTGTCAGCCATTTTGAATCACATCTGAAAAACAAAATGACGTGCATCAAGGTTCCATATTGTCCAATGTATGTACCAAGTTTGAACAAAATCCTTCTGTAAACAGCCAAGATCCAGTTCCGGAATGCCAGAAATGATTTTGATGATTTTTCAGCATAAAAATGGCCGCTATTCGGCCATCGTGTATCAGATCGTGAAACAAATTGATTTGCTTAATATGTATAATATGATGTATGTGTTTAGTTTGAATGTAATCAGTTCAGACATGTCTAAGATACAGGTCTGGATGCATGCACGCAGGCATGGATGCAGGCACAGAGGTCCATCTATAAGTCCCTGTTTTCGTACTGCTTCCAAACAGGGACTAAGAAAATGATGTGCATCAAAGACCGATTATGTTCAATGGACAACATACATGTACCAAGTTTGAATAAATTATGTCAATGCGCGACTTTGAGCCAGTATGGAAATGGCAGAAATGCTGAATTTCGATAAATTTTTAACCTGAGAATAGCCGCCATTCCGCCATCTTAAATTGGATGATGAAACGTATGAGACGTTGAAATCGGTCCAGGCATGTCTGAGATACAAGTGTAGACAGACAAACACATGCATGGACAATTATTAGTAGCCATTTTTGGACTATGTCAGAACGAGGACGAAAAAAATTGAGATACACTCAGAATTTAATCTTTGTACAATTAGTACACAGTAAAAATAGACTGAACACCTCAATATCCCTTATGTTAAGAATGAAAAACACATGAAAGAACTAATTATAACTCTGTGTGCGGGCTGTGACAGCGATACCCCGGAAGACCATTAGACATTTTCTTTAACGAATAAAGACTGGATGCGGATTAATTATGTCACAGTGTAAATACAATCAGAGTTTAATTATAGAACCAGCTCTGGACAGTCAATTCTACGATTTGCAGTAATTTTGTCAATGGTCTTAGAGGCAAGACTACCGACTTACACAGCTCATAGCAGGGTGCCGATGTATACAGTACAGTAAAATGGTTATTCCGGATACCCTTAGGGTAGTAGACATGGGAACATCATTAAGCCTAGTAAGACACCGATCCTTCTCCTCCTTCAAAGAGTCATCTTTCAAAGAATCTGGGTAGATGAATGAAAATGATCTATAATCCTGATTTCAATCCCAGGAGATTAATTTATCAACTTTATAAATAATCCAAAAAACTCCTAATCTAAAAAAATAATGATCTAGAAAATAGATAAGCTGACAGTGGTTTTTGATTTATCAAAATGTGTATATAAAATTTAATGAAGACGGGAATGTCAAATAATTACTATGCCAAGTTTTGGACAGGTTTTTAGTTTACACATGACTTAGTTGACACAAGTTTCCAGCTTACACAGGGTTCAGATATTAATGTTACTGCAAAACTAGAAGAAATTAGCTTTCACTAGAATTTAATTTTTATATTTTTAACCATATTCAAAAATTTCCCAGTGAAATAAGCGTTCTATTGTAAGTTTGTATACTCATATGGATTTAAAGTTTAGTCAATTTCACTAAAAATGTACATTTATTTGTTTATTTTGGTGGAAATTAACCACAGTGAATAACTAGGGTGTTGACAGTAGATCAAAAGTCTTAGTGACCATACACTGAATGTAATCAAGAACTTTGTATGTATATTTAAGAACCCATCCACAGGATACTGAAACCAGCACTTCCAGCAAGATATATCCTGCCAGAACAAACTTTAAGCCACTTAACCGATGACAGACACGAATATTGGACACTTGAAACCCAACACATTAAGGAAGGCCGACATATAGTAAACGTTCTACACATGTTAAGCGTATGAGTCATGTAGACACGAAAATGGAGATCTTAGATAAATATTCATACAGATAGAGAGTGAAAACAGAGATGGGGAACACCTGTCTTACCTTAGTACTCTACTTATCAGCCAAGTCTATCAATAGAATCTATTACAATATAATATTATTCTTTTTCCTTTGCAGCCTGCAAAGACGTTGGGCCTGTAACAAAACAAAACAAAAACTAGGATTAGGTTTCGTAGATGTGCTAGAATTTCTTTTCTTGGAGTGTTGTATGTAGGAACCACTTAGACTTACTTTACCCTCTTATTTGCTATGACTGACCATCTGGTGCTTATTATTAAAATACACTGCAGTGTTGAATTATTCACTGCTGGGGTACTTGAGACCAGACGCCAACTTCATTTAAAAGTATGTATGTTAATATTATTGGGTTTGAATAAGAACAAAATCAACTTTTAAGGCAGTCATTGGCAAACACAGGATACAGAGGTGGTTCAGTTTGTTAAAAACAATATCATTCCTGCTTTACACCAGTATCCTCACTTAGCAATGTCACGTTACAACACACAAAACAATGAATAATTTTTCAAGTTGCACGTAGAGTATTTCCTGTTTTCGAAGCCATACAATGTACAAGACACAGCAAGTCAGATTAGACACAACGGCCAAGAGGAGTAAATTTAAAAATGCGAAATCGAATTAGGATACATTGTTACACATACTGTTGTGAAGCACCAAATAGAAGAATGTATAGAATACCCAAACATTCAGTGCTTAGAATTGATTAGATTCAACTGCGATGTGTTGTCCATAAAACCTAGAACTGGAAGCAATCTTAAATAGGAACTAAATTAAATACATTTTAATTAAATTGTACCATGCTAAAATAACCTAAATTCAATGAAGTTAAAGTTAAATTTAACGCATCTTGGCATTAAGATTAGGGTAAAAGGAAAACCATTGTATAAACTCTAAACGAAATACCATGCATATTTCTTTAAATTGACTTTAATATTAATTTCCTAGTTACGAAACTCTGGTTCCGGTTCCATGTTTTAAAGATAACCTAGGCGACGATTAAAATTCTCAGTACTTGGAGATTGGCATCACTAACGTATCTTAAATAACAAATGATACTTCAGTGATTCGATTCCTTAGATTAAGAAGGTTTCCTTATCTCGATACGATTATTGGTTGAGTTATGGACAGTCATGATTCAATGCATGACATCAAGTGAATGAAAGTGTTTTTCGAGGAAACAACTGGAATTCCAAATCATGTACATGAATGATGGGGGAAATGGAACTCTATGAGACAGTTTGCATACATGTACATATACATTGCACATGTACATGTAGAAATGCCAGATACAATTTGTGAGCAATAAACAAAAAGAAAAGTTATCTTAGGTCACAAATAAAGTTAACATAACAGTAGTCCTACATGTAAGTCTACATTCACAACGATAGGAAAATAAGGGGCCAACCATTTGAAATCCTGAGGAGTACATTTTTATTTTTTTTTGAATGTGCCAACATTTTGTTCCTGCAACACCTTGTATTCAATTTGATGGTGTCTTGATGTCTAGCTTGCAATTTTGTTTTCAACAAGTCTTCTATTCACCCCCCGTGATTTAAAATGGTCAACCCCTGAGTAGACAACACAGCAGGGGAAGAATGCCTTGAAAGTATAGGCCTGACATATCACCAAGGAAGGAACATCAGATGAACCACAAACAAACTTGTACAATGTATATAATGGACATGAAATTTATACTGCAGTGATTTTTTTTTACATTGTAGTGTTATAATATTTGGTTCATGCATTTCATTAATCTTTATATATCAAAAGCCTCTTTTGTTTTTTTTTATAGAAAATACTCATTGAGAACTGTTCAACTTTCTCAATTTGATAATTTATAGCATTTGTGAAGATAAAATTTCACAAAAGTTGCTGACACTGTCTTGGGATCTCAAAAAAATTCAATGTTTCAAAATTCACGTTTTCCACTGAACTGCCTAATTCTCGAAAAATTTGTCTCTCTGGCAAAAATAAAGTGATTTACAGTATTCGCTTGACTATGTTGAAAGGGTAAATGTTTTTGTTTTTCTTTAGTATATGTGGTAGTCCCAGCTAGGTAAACATAATTCAACATGCCAGGGTATAGGGCATATATTTATGAAACCCTGAACCAACAATGTTGTCAGAATGGGCGTTATTTTTATTCGGTCATCCACTGCCCACACAAACACCAACATGGACTTTTTAATAGCAAAATGAGGTAGAAACGCAACAAATTTCATGTATACTATTTTTAACTATACAAATGAACCAAACGAAAACTATTCTTAACCTTAACCTTGATTTATCTCAATAAACATCTAATTTGGCACAAACTGTTTGAAATCTCATGTACAGAAATTCAAGTTTTGTTATTGCTGGTGTATGTATGCGTATTGTGTCTATTCTGACTTGTGTTTATCCACCCCATTTTGGCTATAGCAAGATTCATGGCATTGTTTGAGTGGACAATTGACGACTGAACAGTAAATAACACCCACTTTCACAAAACTGTGGGTCCAGGGCTAAAATGTATGATTTACTCTTTCTATCCTGAGAAGGACACTGTCAGGGTCCATAGCACCACGAGCCAATAGATTTTCCCAAACTTTCTTGCATTTTTCCCTAGACATTTTGACCCTTAATTCAGGCCAACATCATCAGCAAAGCTCATCAAAGTTCTGAGGATAACACTGGCATTTCTAAAATGAACTATGAAAACATTTAAAGACTTTTCAAAGATTTTTTTTATTTTTCCTGTAATTTAAAGACAACTCAAAGACTTTCCAGACCTCAAAAAATCCAAAGACTTTTCATAGGTTTTTTCTAAGCGCTATGAACCAGTCAATGTCAATGTAGCATACAAAATCCTGGGACAGAATTTTTGTTCAAGCAAAAATGATTTTTTAGTTACTTGTATACAATTTATTGCAATGTAGGTGTGGTGCAGATGTTCAGTGTGGATATCCTAAAATTTGGAAACACAAACAGTTTTTTCCCCAGGTGAAAAAGAGCATGGCGATACTACCACAGTGCTTTGTTTTGCCGCTATATCGATGAAGACAGGCTTATTCTGACTATCACAGTAGTTTACTTCCACTGTGCAATTGCTGAATTTTCAAATTGATAAATTGAAATGTAATAAGAGTTTTGTAAATGAATAATTGGGTGCATTGTGTATGTTAATCATCACAATTTCTGTTTGGAATAATTATGCAAATAATATGCATATAATATGTAAATTAGTACTGCTACAATGGATTAAATTTCTAGAGAGAACACTGACAAAGATCATTTGATTAAGTATTACATCAATAAATTTAAAAAAAAAAAAGACAAAAAAAAATCATCCCATAAATCAATGACCACCTGATAGTCAATTAAAAATGTCATTTTATGCACATCAAACATTTGAGGCAATGCTTAAAGCAATTCAAGACAACAATAACACACTGTGTCCAGCACTAGGATATCCCACTGGGGAATCTTTACTTAACACCCAAGGCAAACAGTAACACGATGACCAATGCTTTCATTCATATCACTGTGGACAGTGACCAACCAATAAATGCTGACCAGCTCACAAAACGTGTTCTATTTAGAAACGCATCTCTAATAGAAGCCCACATACATGTACACTAGCAATTGCATACTTGATCAATAAATTACAAATGTTTTTTTATCACAGACAAACCCGTAAATTAGTTAAGCGCATACACTACTGTAGAGCAAATAACATATTGTAGTACAAACTTATTAATTTCAGATATTAAGGACACAACAAAACCATCCCCATAATTTTTTAACATATTTATTATTTACAATGGCTGTAAAATCCAAACAGCCAATAAACAGTTACAGCATATTAAATAGCTGTCACAAATATAGAAAATACTTCACAAAGTATTTACCTACATGTATTCAACATTACCAAGTTGTAACCACGTTGAATACGCTACATATACTGTAAAATATGTCTTTTTCGCGAAAGAACTGATTCGCTAATTCAAGATGTCGCTAATGATTTTATTATCAATTCAAAATGGCCGCCAAACAAAGAAATCAACAATGACAAGAGATATTCGCTAAATCAACATTTCGCTATTACGTTATTTTACCACAATTCGCTAAAATTGCATGCCGCTTTTTCAACATGTTTTACAGTACTTTAATTACCAAGTCCAAGTTTTGAACGGATTTTTTTTTTTTTTTTGACAGTCCATTCATGTATACATTTTACTCGTCGTCACTGTATTTTGAATCAAATACAATTGACCTGCGTTCAATGAACGTGGCTATTTGGTTGGTTGAATTATTAATGAACTGAGCATCAATCAACATGTTCATCTGTTCCAAGTAGAACGAACTAAAAACAATCATGCAAGAGAGCAGTTTGAAATTGAATGGTAAACTGATCAAGCTGGTGATTTCACTTTGCTTTAGCCTTTGGGTGAAGAGATTTGCAGCAGAGCTAAATGCTGTCTGAATACAGAGGTTGATATGATCCTCTTGTGATTTGAAAAGTGAAATACAAGATCTCTGACAACTGATGAGAAATATAATCAAAACATCATAATCATGTGAACAATTATATAAAAGCATAAAAAGCAATAATGCCCTTTGCCTTATTTCAAATATGGTCACTTAATTTATAATTAATTCATTTGTTTGTAATATGCATGCCTGATTGGTGGACGGGAGCTGTGATTGGCTGCCATTAACAATACAGGGCTGTGATTGGCTGTCATTCACAAAACAGGTTTGTGATTAGCTGCTGTTTACAATACAGGTTTGTGATTGGCTGCGGCTTAGTACAAAATAAAGAATGTCAAATACAGTAAAACTCAATAAATGTTCCAATTTCTCTTGGGTCTGACATTATTCCCTGAATATTTGATAGGGTAATAAATATATATCAGTCAGCACAAGAACATGAACACAGAGAAGAACCATGTGTTGTATTGCCACTCGCTATCTACATCTCTCTCTACAACTCTAAAAGCTAATGCATATTTGTTGACAAAACAAAATATTTTTTCCACTTAACATCACCATTGCATTTTTCATGAATGAATCTATAATTCAAGGAAAATAATTGTATTCTCTAGACACAATGCAAAAATATTTTCATTGCTGCA